ATGATTCCTTTGTACTTGTTTATTGCCTGATTTCGAATTCCAAATACAATACGTTTGTTCGCGCTCAACTTATACTTCTTGGTTAAATTGCGTTATTTCTAGGATTTCTAGTTCGTACAATAAGTCAAATACTCTTAATCATCACACCTACTCCTGCATGAAAAGAGACAGTGGGTTGTTGGAATAGGTTCAAAGGACTGCATCTGAGCTGATTCCCGGAATATCAAAGCCCCCGTTTGACGTTCGACTGTCTAAATTTAACGTATTTCCATTGTAATATGAAAGAACCAGAGGTGAAACGACCACAGTTTTGTAACCCCTTGTTGAATAATTGGCAACTGATATACCGTCCTTGTTCCTGTATTCCAAAACAGACAATTTGCAAGGAAACTAAAATAGTTCACAAGCCGAGGATGAAGTACTTGTTGGCTGACTATCGACTTTCTAATAGAATCATCAAAGAGTGGCATTCGATACTTGACCACGTGATTAGAGGCATACTTGATGCTTTTAAAATAAACTTATATCAACTGAATGATCACTACTGTCAGATTTAATACAGGTCACACATCTGACTGTTCATTTCAGTCTTCAGTAATAAGGATAGTAGGCTGGTGAACCTGTGCTAATTCTGACAGATTGCCTTCCAATGAAGGTCCAGTTTTTCTTTGGTAATATTCACTGTTGAGGCTGATACCACTTGTTCAGGTTAGGCGTTCCAATCATTGACAACTCGATGAGAAAAACGGGACGCAAATTTAAGTTTATTAGGTCGCGGTTTATGAATCTTCTTGCTATGACCTCGGAGATTATTAGCGCTGAAGAGATCAGAAGGATAAGACATATTAACACCAAAGTCATAATAAAATATACAAAATGCCAGTATAACGTTACTTCGCGTCCTACGATGCGACAAGTGGAAAAGGTTAAGGTGCTTTAAATGCTCACCGTAAGGGAGTTTAGCAAGACCCTTCACTAATTTCGTTCCAACACGTTGGACACACTCAAGTGAGTTAGTATACTTTATCAGACATGAGCTAGCTGCTTGGATGCACTACTCTAAATGTGGTCTTACATAGGTGGTAAATTAAACTCGAAACGTTTCATCGTCAAAAGATTTGAACTCTCGGCGAAGTGACAATAACGCACGAAAACCTTTAACAGCGGCTGCGTTGCAATGCGTAGTTGTTTTCAAGTCATGATGTATTATTACTCCCAAGTCTTCATGTTCTTGAACGCATGGAGGAGGTTTACCATCAATAGTATCATGGTAACTATTACCGTGACCGATGTGCATTAGTACACTCTTCCTAGCATTGATTTCTAAGCCCCACTCTCGAGCCCATCTAACAAAATCGTCTAAGTCAGCTTGAAGATTAAGATGATCAGCTTCTTTTTTTATTGTTCTCTTGATTTTTAGATCGTCCAAAACAATAATGTCGACGACCTAAGCAAAAGCGGCAACTCGTTAACGTAGAGAAGGAAGAGCAGAGGGTCTAAGATGGTGCCTTGGGGTGTGTAGTGGCATTGGACTATAACCACACAATCCTCAAAGCTGAATACGAGATTACTCGGAAAATAGATATTCAATATTTAACCCAAAGAAATACCTAACGATGGAGAAGGCGCGAACAATGAAGTGAATGAATTAGAGTTGGTCGAACGGCATGGCTCGGCCATGCAGGCGTGGTCTCTGCTGAATGTTACCTTATATCTTCTATTCATATTAAATATATTGTTCTTTCTCTAGCCTAACCTTGATACGATACAGTGAGTTGGTGTAGTCGATGGTGTGACTTCCACGTAAGATCTTATAGATTAGGCAGTTATATCATGACAAATCTACAAATTTAGGATTAGGTCTATTATTAGAGCAGTACTAATATCATAGTAGATCATAATTCTACAGGTGCAACACTTTTGACCGGCTTCCAATCGGATAGCGTCCCTTTGAACCTCACTCTCTGTCTGCGGTCACATAAGAAGTTTCCTATCCACTCCCGTACAGTATCTATTATTCCGAAGCTCGTAAGCTTCTGCATAAGACCTACGTGTGAAACCTCGTCAAATTCTTTACCGAAATCTTTGAATATCACATCGACAGACAGACCTTTATCTAAGGCTGCCGTCCAATCCTTTCAATAAGTAAGTTAGTCAAGCATGAACTCCTGATAAGAAATCCATGTTTCTTAGGAGCTAACAGATTATGTGTGGCTTAACGACCTAACTCGATTCATGTTTCAAGTAACTTAACGACAATGCTAGTTAGACTGACAGGCCGGTAGTTGGAAACGATCTGTCTCTGACCATCCTTGAATATAGGACTGACTACAGTGTTTTTTCAATCTCTAGGGAGCTGAGCGAGTGGGAGGGACATGTTGAAGATTGTCGCGAGCGGTTTTGAGATAATGTCCGCAAGAGATGACAGAAGCCATGGATGTAACCCGTCAGGGCCCGGTATCTTACAAGGTATGAGGTCAGTTATCAACGGAAGGACAGTTTCCATAGTCACCTGTACAGATTCAACGGCTGTTGTCTCGGTTTGAGTGGGACAAGTATTTGTTACATTTAACGTGGAGTAGACTTCCTTAAAATAGTTTGAAAAAGTCTCAGCTTTGCTCGATCTGATTCAGCTATTAAATATGAATTTTCGTGTAACAGCAATGGGGGAATACCATCACTACATTTCATTCGCCTTTTAACAACGTGGTCAGTGTTCACTAGTGGGGGAGATGCTGAATATCAAAGACAGTCTTACAGTGGTAGGTGAGGACGAGGTTTAGCAGTGACGGATCATGTTGAAAATCGATATGTGTCGGTTTTGTGATACATTGTACTAGTGCACACTGAATACCAGTTGATAAAAGGTCGCTACCGAAACCCCCACCTGGAGCTATAAGCTCTATCCAGTTGATATGCTGTGCGTTGAAGTCCCCAATGATGATACAACATTCTGCCATACTCCAAGAACAGATGTGTCTTAAGATAAAGTCATCAGCAAGGCAACACAGACTACGGTATATTCCCCCTTTAGTCACTAACCCATTTCTAGATTTATCCTAACAACATGCTACCTCACATGTACCACAAACATGAGCCTCCGATATATTTGATTGCATACGAAAGTGATCTCTAATATGTAACATTATGCCTCCTCTTGCGACTTAAAACTCTATCACTTCTAATACAGATATAGCCTGCAATGATGGGAGAACATTCCATATCTACTGTGAACCAAGGTTATGTAACAACAGTTATATCGGGACTTAATTCGTCTACCATCAGACTTAGCTCGGACGTTTTATTTCTAAGACTACGGGCGTTCGTGTAGCACACACTTAAGGTGTTTTGGCAATCAGTTGTTCTACCCATACAGGCCTCGGAAGCATCGGCTTCCAAGACCTGACAACCCGAAAACCCTTAGTGATAAGGTTAGTTTCACTTGCGAGTTCTCAACTCCGTAAGCGCCTTCTCCCACTTGATTCAATCCTCAAGCGGCCAATCTGATTGGATACGAATACTTGAATCACGAAGTTTTTGTGCGTTTTTCAATACTTTATCTGTCTCTTCAAAATTTTCGAGAACCAGCTTCAAGATCCTTCTTGGTTGGGTCTCTTTCCCAACCCATGTACCAAGTCGTATTACTTTCGTGATCTCTACCCCTGAAACCTCTTCAGGTAGTACGTTTCTTATCACCGATTCTACCAACTGCAGATCATGTGCCTGCCTTTTTAGCAGGGTTGTTGTGTTTTGACTCTTCTAGATTCCAAATAATTAAACTAGGGATAGGTTTAGCTTCTTTTGAAACCGTGTTCACAGCTTTCGATCGTAAAATTAGACCCTGTATATTAACTACAGGTATCTTACGAATAATTTTTTATTGTAGCAGAGTCATTGGAGTGAAGCAGGTGTTTCACAACAATTTTTGACGAGGCTATCGTTGGGATTTTGGCAGGGTGGTATGAGAGTCCACTAAAGACTTATCATGTAAACAGTCATTAGTTTTAGCTGTCTTTCCTACTCTTCTGCGTTTCTGCGTCATCAACATCCCATCAGTCGTGGCACCCACATTAGAAACACTCGGGGCAGTAATTGTTTTATCTGGGTCACCGGTTTCCGCCGAAGCAACATGAACACCGATATCTAATGAGGTCTCACTCATTGATTGCTTCCTGTTAGACGGTTTAATTGCGGGTTTCATGGTTAGATGTGTGGCTTGCACTGTGACAGCACTTACGACACTAACACAATCTTCGCCATCAGTACCAATTTTACGAGTACAGCCCTCATCAACCTTCTTATTAGAAAACAACAGGAGGCTAATTGCTTCCTGGATGAGTAATTTTTTGCTCGAGCAACGAAAACTACAAAGCCAATGAGAGTTGGGCCTTGAGCACCTTTTATATGTAGTGGGGCTTAATCAGGTGTACATCTTATGGAACTACTTATTACACTCTTTACATTGCATCCCTTCCTCCACGGAGAATAAGCAATATGGTTGTCCACATCTATGAGCAGAGCTGGTCATCTTGAAAATCAACTACAATGGTGACATAAATAGGATATGTAAAAGAATTCTTAAACCTTAACTAAATAAATCAAGTAAAAGTCGACCAAGTATGCTACAATTCAACAAAAAAACAAAAGCAGAAACTAAACATTCAACACAATATTGCTTTAAATGGAGTAGATACAATTAAAGTGTAAACAGTAGTTTTAATGAGTAATTTACGATCAAAACAGTTGATTAACTCAACCAGAAACAATACCACTGTCCTTTTTAGATAACATGGGTTCCCAATTAAAACTAGATAAAACGGATTTTCGGGAGAGCTGTTAAGTTCTAGATAGGTGAAACAGAATTAAAAAAATAATCCTAATTTTATTTACGTTTTCTGTGTCATAAATGTTTTACCTAGTTTTGTCTTGTTTAACTATATCACGTCACACTATTACTGTATTCCGCTACCCTCAAACTCGCTTCTAAAGAACGCACGCGAATGTCTTTGTGCAGACAGAACTATCATGAAGAGTGTGAAGCTGGTGTTAATAAGCAAATTAACATGGAGCTGTACGCAAGCTATGTTTATATGACTATGGCTTTTCATTTTAATCGTGATGATGTTGCGCTGAACGGTTTTTATAAATTTTTCTTAAACGAGTCGGAAGAGGAGCGACAACATGCCATTAAGGTAGTTCAACAATTTCCAGATAAATTTCGTATAGTTAATGACTTATCAAAACATGCGGGGTGGTCGGATTGTGTTACAAAATATATCGGCACCTCCTCAACTTTCATGGGATTCGGGACTCCATGCTATGCAGGATGCTCTTGATTTAGAAAAAAAGGTCAATCAGAGTCTGATGGATTTACTGGCTGTTGGTGAAAGACACAGAGATACGCACTTTTGCGAATTTATCAACAGTAAGTTCATTGTCCGTTTTCCTATGGTGGGGTTGTCTCGCGAATCCGATTTCCAGGACACTAGTGACTACACAATCAACCTGATTTTCAGTCCTGGTTTCTTGAAGCTATGCTGTTGGCTGGTTATTCCGGAACGAAGACGTGTTACTTCATATTAATCATGAGTTTACAACTGAAAAACTACTATGAGTGTTGGCTTATACATCTAAGACTACTCAAATTGGGTCCGGATGTAATCAGACCCAAGTGGTCGTTTCGTTCACAGCATAGTCACGCCCCTAAGTCTTCAGGACTTTTAACTTAGTTCCCTTCGTGTAGCCCTCAAGGACTGTTCTTCCAAAGGTTAGGGATAACAGCCCTCTTCTCTATAAACGCACGTAATGTTACCTCGTCGATACAAAAACTCCAGCAAGTGTGAAGTAAAATCAAACTACACTAAGGTATGGGGTTTTACGAATACTTTATGTCATCCTGACGATCAATGCACATACTAGATGCTAGGTTGCTTGTCAGCATAGTCGAGTTGTCGCCAATAGAAATGTTAATGATGACTCCCTGTGTTGCCCGTAGATTTCCTTTGAACCCACAGTATACTACCTATTGTAGCTGACCAGAGTAGTCGGTGACTAAATAGGTGTCGTCAATATACCATAAGTTTGGCCGTAAAACTATTAGATTCCTTTTTTGTCACACTTATGTTCTCATTCAATTATCCACATTATACATAATATTGTTTCTGGTATTTCCTAGATGAATATTTGGAGACTCAGGTACAGTCTATTAAAAAGCTTTCCGATTACATTACTAATCTCAATCGTGTGGGTACTGGTCTTGGAGAATACACATTCGACAAAGAAACTCTACATGGCGAGAGTCAATGATTTTTTGTACCAGCAAATTGTTGTAAACTGTTTTCGACCTACAATCGATTATATTTTGTATAATTTAATGATATTTACTGATTAATTTATGTATTCTGAAGTTAAATGTATTAGGGTTTTGATTGTTACCAAGTCAGGTTAATAATAACTTGTCGTTGATGCTTTACGTGTGACGAATGCTAGTCGGTATTTTCTAAAGAAGTCGTTTTGAGTGACCAATCTTTTCATGTGCTGATGTTCAAGCCATGTGGTTTCGGTAATATGTCATTTTAGATCCACAGCCTGTTGTTGACCTTATATATATTTCTCCATAAATTATCGTAGCTTAATGTTTAAATAGTGTTACTGTTGTTGGTTTGACCAAGGAAATTTTCTCACTACTACTATCAAACATGCCTCATACAAAGAATGTAGGTGATTTATTAATGTACCGAACACCGATTCACAGCTGATGAAAACGATTTCAGAATGTGCAATGTTGTTTATCTCTTTAAATGTCGATAAACACGTAAATTGGCGGTTGATGCTGATTAATAAGCTTTTCACAGTATCAATAGAGTAGCTGCTTTGAATAACATATACAACTCAATTACTGAGTTATGTATTTCGCTTCTTAATAATAATAACATTTCCTTGTGTAATGGGTTTGTTGCACATTTTAAGCGTTTAATATTGAGCGCATTAACATGAATTATTAAAATGCATAGATCAAGTTATTATTACTAAACTATAGAAAACTTCAAAATACCCACTGTCAAACATCTATGGTTTTCAAATTAGAAATATTCATCCGCATTTAAACTAATTTTTGTCGTATTTCAGAAGAGAGTTTTGTTGAAGACTTTACCGAGTGTTAGTGAAACTACTCAACCGTGGAAATGTAATTTTCTCTTCGTTTCACCATAGTTTCGGAATCACGTTAATGTATTTAACAGGATACTGACAATGTGTTTAAGGAATTGACATCTGTGGAAATATCCTATTGTCTAAACAGTATGCGGATGGTATGATATAGCTTAAGATCAACGACGGTGGCGCAAGTGTAACGAGTTTATTCTGTTCTTAATGCATTAAACTTTTTATTCGTTTATAGCGTTATTGTGTTCTAAGTAATCTGTGATTGTGCTGGTAATTAGGGTGGGTTCTATAGTATCTAACTTAATTAGTATTCTTTTAACAAAAGGTAACGACTGTAAGTACACTATTAGGAAAAGTTACCTAAATATTTATGAACGCTAAATAACGCAACCGATCGCCTGTTCATTTTATTTTGCTCTAATTGATGCTCTTGCTTCGGAAATCAATAGCTCTCACACATATCAAATGAGATTTGTATGGCGCATATGTATTTGGTGCCTCCTTGTACAAATATATATGTGTTCAAACAATAATGATAGTACTACAATTAGAAGTACCTAGCGATTCAGCATGTCAGGTAGGAGAATTTGATTTATGCTCAAATCACCATATACTAGTCATTTAGCTGGGGACTACCTACTTTCGGATAAACTTAGCACAGAAAAGCAGATTGCAATCAGCTAGTTTTTCAGCTCTGATTGGCTCCAAGTCCGAAGACTGTGTCTATCGATTTTATAAATTAGTGACATGAACGGATCTGTCCATCGTTAGTCCTCTTCAAAGCAATTGAGGGTCAGGTGCAACTCGAAGTACTCAAGAAATATAACGGTACGTTAATCGTAATCACAACTACAGGATCGCTCTTAATGATCCTAACTTTAATAACTTTTATCTGTACCGGTCTCGTAGCTATGTGAGAGAACTCGTCTCAAAACAAGCTAATAACGTTAATACGTTAGGCTCTTTAGCATAACCTTAGAGCTCGTGATTGGTTAGCCTTAAAGGCAAATAACTATGCTAGTCGCCCACACTTAGTGATCAATAAAAAAGGATAACTGTAGAAACAAACTCCACACCTGTATTCACAAATAAATGAGTAATTAGATTAGCATGCACGATTAGTAAGGTAACGTTGAAAAATAGCGGATTTATAGTATAAATTTAGTATATCGAGATCATGATTTGAAAACAAGACAAATAGTTGGTCAGTCAGACGAAGGCTGTAGACCAAAAGGAATAAAAAAAGCATAACCTAACTGTTTCTAATTATACAGCGAAACAAGAGTAGTAAGGTCTGTTACTTCCCCTAATTTTATAACTATATCATTAAGTGATGTAAACGATTAACTTCAACTGACAAGTCGAAATTTAGAACATTTACTACGGTTATTGAAAGTAAACATGAATATGATATGATGGGATGAAAAGTCAAAATTAGATGTGATAATTACTCAATGTAGTATGTTTCTGTTTCCCAATGTGACATTTTGTATTGTATAACATACGATATTCTTGTATTCAACTGACCTGAACTATGCTCAGCATGATATGTAGCACATGATTTGTTATAACCCTAAGTATTTTTTTTCATATATGTGATTTCATCTTAATTATTAATCAAAAATGGGTGTATGAATCAATCTATAAATGAATATATTTCTAATTTGTCGTGGTTGTTCATGCTTCTGGTTACTTGTGGAATATATTTCTCTCTTCCGAATCTGGACTTCTCTCTCAGGTTAGCTGGACTGGGACGCGTCGGAATAGCTAGCTTATCTGTCATTGTGTCACAGAGTCTTCGTTCCGTTCTCAGAATAGGTGAACTCGTAATCCCCAAATGCCCTGGTACGGCCGAGAGTGGGGAGAGTAAGCTCTCCCTCTCGAAATGCTCTCACATGGCCGCACGTATATAGCCTCTGCGAGAGAAGTCCTACTCACTGCGTTTTCGTGGCGGGGTTATTTTTTACGAAACTGAGAAGACGAAAAGCGAATGTCCGGTGCTTTAGCCGCGTTGGTGGACACGGAGAGTTGGAAAATTCTGATTTAAAACAAATGTTACACACGGGCTAGCTTCAGGATCCTAAGAGAATGAATGGCGTATGAACCGATCGCTGGACACCGACTGCCTTGGGACTGCATCTCCTTATGATGCTCCACTGCCATGGGGACCAGACCTTTAGGTCGAAGGCGCCGGGTGTGGCCTTCTAAGAAAACCACCTGCTTCAGATGAGATTTGTGTGGCGCATGTGTACCTGATGCCTTCTTGTACCAATATCTATGTGTTCAAATAAATCAATATAGGATGATAAATCTATATTTACATAATTTGCTTTAAAAGCGAAACTGTATGATGTAAATCCTCGTTATAGAGAATCCTAAAAATATATGCTGTCTTATCACAGCTGGCTACCAATGAAATACTTTTACTTACATCTGTTACCCGTCATGGACAATCCTCTCCAGTTGCTATTCTTTCTCTTCATGTCTGCTCCCAATTCTCGGTGCAGTGTGTTCTTCAGTTTTTCTCTTCTCCGTTTCCCTTCAGGATTCCAAATTGATTTTTGCTTCATGATACAGTTTGATGGTTTCCTCAATGTCTGTCCCATCCACTTCCAACGTTTTTTTCCTAATTTCTTCAACTGGAACCTGGTTAGTCCTCTCCAATAGTAGGCTGTGGCCGATGGTATCCGGTTAACGGATATTGAGTATCTTGTGTAAACAATTGTTTATAAATACTTGTACCTTTTTGACGATGGTTGTAGTTATTCTCCAATTTTCAGCTCCGTACTGTAGGACTGTCTTGAAGTTAGCATTGAAAATTCTACCATGATGAAAAACTAATTGAAAAGAAATTTCTTCGCTCGATTTTTTCCTTCCTTAATTGTGGCTTTGATGTTGGTTGATAGTTGTTTTGAGTTCCATATCAATCAGTCAGTCAGCTACAACGTAGAACCAGGCACATATATGCATCGGTCCATATATTCTTCAACTGTAGGAATGCCGCCCTTACTTTGCCAATCCTTGGCCTTTACGTATGCATCAGATCCTCATTGTTTACGTATGTTCTCAGATACGTGAAAGATTCCACCTCTTGTAGAGCTTCTTCATCAAGTGAATGGTTTGGTATTCTCCGTGTTGTATTTGAGGATCTCGCTTGTTCCCTTGTATAAGATGAGTCCTACTGATGCAGGAGCTGCTGCTACATTGTTTGTATTGACCTTGACTTTCTGTGTTTTTGTTCAGACGTTGTCAGTTGCTGTCTTGTCCAGGGATTCGATAGAGACTCATTCCTTATGATGCTTTTTGCGGCTCAGAACCCCCTGACACGTTGAGGTTAGTGCTTGTTTGGTACCTTTACAGTTGTCCTCTATAGTAGATTCTTCTTTCAGTAGATCCTGTGAGGCTTGGAACCTGTTGTTGACAGTTATCTTGAATTCGTTGAGTTTGTCAGTATCTCGAAGGAAGTTTGTATTGAACCTATGCAGTGCTGCCTGTTCCGTTGTCAAGTGCTCCCTTTATCTTCAGTTTCATCTTAGCAACCACCAGGTGGTGGTCCGAAGCTATATCAGCTCCTCTCCTGGTTTTCACGTCTCCCATCGACCTTGTGAATTTCTTACTGATGCAAGTATGATCTACCTAGTTCTTCGTGATGTGGTCCGATGAGACCCATGTAGTTTTGTGTATGCGTTTGTGTGGAAATATTCTGCAGCCTATAACCGATTTGTTGAATGAACATTCCCCTTTGTTTTCTCCTAGTCCATGTTGTCCCATGATATCTGCATAATCGTTGTTTCCCATTCCGACTTTCACATCTAGATCTCCCATCAGAATAATTAGGTCCTCTTGAGCACCTCGCTGGTCGATTTCGTAAATCTGATGTTTATCACCGTCGTTGCTATCATTGGTAGTTGCATGGCATTGGATAACATTCATTGTAATTCCCTCCTTCTTCGTCTTGAAAGATACTTTGATAATTCTGGACCTATGAGATTCCCATCCTAGAAGTGCATTTCGTGCTTCTTTAGATAGTATCAGAGCAACTCCGTAAGTGTGTAAAGCATTTCCCTCTTCGTGATCGGAGTTCAGCAGCATTTCTCCCGTACTTGACCTTTTCTGTCCAGCTTGGGTCAAATGGGGTTTTG